CCAAACAACACAAGAGCATGATGGAAAGAGTGAGGTACGAGTGATGACGTTTTGGTGGGGCGAAGCCATCAAGGGATGGGGTCCAAGGAAGGGGGGAAGCGCGCCCAGCCCGGGTAGCATCCCCCCCAGACGGCTCAATATACGTCCAGCAATGCTCCAGAGGTCCCCAAGACGGCCCCAGAGAGGTCCAAGACGGCTCCAAGACGGCCCAAGAGCGCTCCAAGAAAGCTTAAGACCGCCCAACATCATTCCAAAATGACCTAAGATGGCCTCAACACGGTCCAAGGGGGCCCAAGGCGGCTTTGTGCTCCTAAGTAGTTTGGAGATTTTGATGTCCTCGCCTTTTCGGGTTTTTGACGCTCCAAGGCGGCTTAGTAGGCGCGACGGATGGCCCCACGACGGCCCGTGAGGCCCCTCAAGAGGACCTCAAGACGGCCCAAGAGAGCCCCCTAACGGTGCAAGAGGGCCCCAAGAGGGGCCCAAAGGGCCCAAGAGGCTCTCACGAGAGCCCCAAGGCCCGAGAGGGCCATGGGATGCCGCCAAGAGGGCCGAAGAGGGTCCCAAGAGGGCCCCAAGACGGCCCAAGCCCCCCCCAGGCGGCCCAAGAGGCCCCCTGGACGGCCCAAGAGCCTCCCAAGAATAAGCCCTCCCCCCCCAAACAAAAATCCGTAGCCATTTTGGCTCAAGCGGCTTGGCTTGAGACTTTGCCGAAGGCTTTCCAGAAGCCCTCCGATCTACGAGTACTGAATATTTATGGTTTTACGCATGGCTTTCACGAAGGTGTCCTTCAGCGTCTTCGTGGGCCCCCTCGTCGTGATCCTTGGCGTGCCGCACTCAGCTGCTCTTGTGCTATCCACGGCCCCTTCCGAGCCGTGGTGGACGTCGGAGCTGAATGACTTGCTGCGGGCCGCATGGGGCGTGGGGTCGGGTGACCGGATTGCGCAGGGCGCCCAGGCCTGGCACCCCGAGCCCGCCCCGGGCAACGGGGTGCAGCTCGCCACCGTCGACGACGCCACGGATCCGTGGGCCGTCTCCGCGGGCCGCGACGAGTGCTCTGGCTGCGACTTCACGGTGAACCTGCGGTGCGAGGGCCTCCGGCTGGGTCGCCACGCGGCGTGCCACCGCATCACACACTGCTTGCTGACCATGTACGGTATGATCCAGCTTGCTCACATGGCCGCGAGCAGTCGGCCCGACGCCCGGATCTGCGCGCTCACGTGGACGGAGCCGGACGGCATGGACCTGCGCAGTTTCTTGGGGGACGTGGTCGGCATCAAGTGGCACTCCCTCGTCGACGAGAAGGACAGCTGTGCGAGCGGGCTGCGGTACCACGCTGGCTTCCGGACTTGGCTCATGGGCGCGCAGCACTCTTACTTGGATACGTTCGGATTGGACCAGAACATGGTCCGCTCCTATTCCATCAACTTCGACGATAACTTGAACTGGATGCAGCGCGACTTCTCCGCGTTCGCTGGAAAGGACGGTGGTTTTTCGCCGCAGTTCGTCATCATCCACCGCATGCAAGTTCCCGGGGGTCCATCGAACACGCGTATGTTTCACGACGCCGATTTGGAGAAGTTGAAGGACTCGATGAGTGGTACGAAGTTGGGCAAGGTAGATATGCCACTGACAGTGTACTACGGAAACGAAAGCGTCGTAGATACCGTGAGAATGTTCACCCGGGCCGCGGAGATCATCGGCTACCACGGCGCAGCGATGGCCAACACTTTGTTTTCGGCCCGAAGGCATTGCGTGCACCACATCTCGACATTCAAAGATTTGCAAAGTCAGGTGCACTGGCGCATCAACGATGACGTGTCCAGGATGAACAAGTTGGGCAGTTTCAACGTGTACGACATCCCATTGATCGATCTCCTCAACGACAACAGCGTGAACGTTGAGGATTACGAGAAAGCAGAAGATAAGGATCATTTCATCAAGGATTTACCTTGGGCACCGCTCTCAGATTACCACATTGCACAGTTACATGTTGCTGTGGGTCATTGTCTGAAGAACTGGGTGGAGGGCCACTGGTAGGTTGCCAGCCCGCAGGGTTGTCTCACGCGCGAAGACTCTTCACCCTTGTATTCCGCATGGTTTCTCGGAAACGCAGTTGTATATGAATTAACAGCCTTGACCGCGGCACAAGCGAGAGTGCCCGAGGTCGAGCGGCATCGACTGGTGTTGCACGAGCGTCGCGCACGATTGGTGCGGATGAAGCTCCTGAGGGAATCGTTGGATTGCTTGGCCAAGGAAAAGCAGTTGGCTCGCGAAGGAAAACAAAAAAGAAAAAAGAAGAAGCCAAACAAATGAAAACATAAAAAAAGATAAAACAAAACAAAGAGCCTCCCAAGAGGACACCCCAGACGGCCTGAGGAGGCAAAGCACATTGACGTTCTTTCCGTTTCTGATTGTTTTTTGGTTTCTCGCCCTTTCGGGCCCAGGGCCTCGGATCCTGCCCCAAGACGGGCCTGGGGAGGCTTCCAAGACGGCCCCAAGACGGCCACAGCGAGCTTCAAGAAGGGCCAAAGAGGGCCCGAACTTGAATGCAGCTCCCAAGAGGGCCCAAGAGGGCCCCAAGACGGCCGAAGCCTCCCAAGACGGTCCAAGAGGTTCCCAGGACGGCCCAACATGCTCTCGAGGCAATCCCGAAGACGGCCTGATGAGGCAAAGCACATTGATTTTTCGTTGTTCTTTTTCGAGTTGGTTCTTGTTCGAGGTAATCCCGAAGTCGGCCTGGGGAGGGGGTTCTCGCCTTTTCGGGCCCAGATCGGCCGAAGACGGCTCTGAGGGCCCACGATGTTGCCCCAAGACAGGCCCGGAGGCTCCCGATAGGGGGCCCGAAGACGGCCCCGAAACGGCCATGGAGAGCCTCAAGAGGGGCCAACGAGGGCCCGAAGAGGCTTCCACGAGAGCCCAAGAAGGCCCCAGAGGGCCCCAAGAGGGCCCACGCCTCCCACCACGGACTCGGGGGCCCTCAGTGACGGCCCAGACTGCTCCCAATCGCATCCCGAAGACGGCGTGAAGAGGCAGCACGCATGGAATTTCCTGCAGGGGGCGAACACAACGCTGTTTAGCTCGGTTTTGGCCCGTGCTCTCTTTCTCGTTCCGTGCTGCGCTGCTGTTCCGCTGTGCTGTGTCTCGGTTTCGTTTCCGCCTGGCACCAGTTTCGTTGTAGACGCTCGTGTTACACGTTCGGTTTCGTTCCGTTTTTCGTCCTGAACGCCAGCGCGTTTTTATGTTTTCAACGTCCCTGTCCTCGGTCGCCGGTTTCCGGCGTTTTTCTGGGTGGGCGGGCGGCGGGTTCTGCTCTTCCGGGCCCGGAGCCGCCGAAGTCGGCTCTGAGGGCCTGCCCCCAAGGCTTGAGGCGGTCCGGGAGGGCCCCCACGGGAGGGCTCCAAGACGGCCCACGGGAGGATCCCACGGGAGGCTCCCACGTTTTTGTCTGGCACCAGTTTCGTTATAGACGCTCGTGTTACACGTTCGGCTTCGTTTCGTTCTTTCGTTCTGAACGCCAGCGCGTTTTTAAGTTTTCAACGTCCCACTTGGGGGGGGGGCCAGGGCCCCAAGACGGCCCACTTGGGGGGGGGCCTCGGGACGGCCACGGGGAGCCCCGAGGCGGCTCCAAGGGGAGGGCCCAAAGGGGCTTCCGCGAGGGTCCAGGAGAGCCCCTCGAAGGAGTGCCGTGGAGGGCCGCCGAGAGGGGCGGAAGGGGGCCCCAAGAGAGAAACCCACGACGGGCAAGACCTTCCGAGACTGTCCAGGGGGGCCCCAGCACGGCCCCCAGAGGGCCCCCCAAACACCCAAGAGGGCCTTCAGAGGACCCCCCCTCCTCCAGATGGCGCAATGACAGACGCAGCTTTGACGCCAAGGCTCCCGAGAGCACCAGGCGATTGGAGAGCCCCTTTGGCACGAGTCGGTGACGTAAGACACTTTGAACGCCAAGTGTCCCAAGAACGAGCAGTGGCGTTGAAAGCTCCTAGCGCCAAGGCTCCTGAGAGCGAACGGTGACGTGAACAGCTTTTGACGCCAAGGCTCCCAAGAGCGAACGGTGACGTAACACACTCTTCACAGTAAGGCCCCCCAAAACTAACAGTGACGCGAACACATTCTTGACGCCAAGACTCCCAAGAGCCAACGATGACGTGACACAGCTCTTCACACCAAGGCTCCCAAGGAGCGAACGGTGATATGAAAACGCTCCACGCCAAGGCTCCCAGGAGCGAACGGCGCCATGAGCCCTCTCGGGCAAGTTCCTGGCGGGGCCAGGTTCTAGCTCTAGCACGCCCACCCCATGTAGGCACGGTGGCGGATATCGATTTCGATTCAGGTCTCCGAATCGCGCGCCTGCTCGTTCCATCCGCGGGGATCCAGAGGCCTAGTTTTTCTTTGGCTCCCAGCAGGGCGGTGCCTGAACCCCTCCCCTTGGTATTGGCTGCGCATGCTGTGCACGTCCATGGCATGCGGGTGCCCTGGTGCAAGGAGATTCAGCAGCGCATCAGGCTCCTCGAGAACGAAGTCCGCATTATGAAGTGCCTCCACCCGCCCCCGCGCGAGCTCCCTGGGTGGAGCATAATCTCGTCAGTCAGATGAGGAAGCTATACGGGTGCTGCTGATCACTCCTCCCCCCTTCTCCCTCCTCCTCCTCGTCCTCCTCCTCCTCCTCCTCCTCCTCCTCGTCCTCCCCTCCTCCTCCTCCTCCTCCTCCTCCTCCTCCTTCTCCTCCTCCTCCTCCACCTTCTCATTTCTCGCTCTGACACTTGGATTTTTACTTGATTGATTTCGGCAACGCGGCCAGGCCAGCACTTGTGTTATTCTGAATGCTGGATTCTCCTTCTCTCGTACAACTGTTTGCCAGACATGCTTTGCAGAGCCTGTTTTGAATGGAGTGCCGAGGGGCCCTTTCGCAGGCGCAATTATCTTGTCACCCTGTCCGTGCGCCGTCTGGCGCAAGGCTTGTGATCTGACCTTCTGATCACTCATTGTCGCCATGGTCGGGTTTGCCTCGAAATCCTGGTCAGAACGCACCCCAGGAGAGGTCCGGGAGTGACGGTACTGGTACCTTTTTGTTCCCCCCGTCAGGGTTACTTCTAATCCTAAGCCAAGCACTCATGTCTACCCCTTCGATCCCCCGACTCTTCTCCTCCACCGTCACCCCTGTTCTCTTTCCCTCCGCTCTCTGGAAGGAGCAAATGACGGGGAGACAGGCAGGTCGGGCCTACATCAGTGGGAGCAGGGACATAGCTCAAGAACCGGCCGTGTTGGGTTCCATTTGCACGCTGTATTTGCCATTGGCGCCATTGTGCGCGTGGCCCGCACAGCGATGTGCACGCAGACAGCCCAGGGTGACCCGAGAGAGGAGCACGTGGTTTGCCAGTGGGGCATTCGTAGCAGCATACTCTGCGCACTTTCTGGGCCTTCTCACAGCCATGGCAGACCATGTTGGCCAGCAGATTGGAGAGCGCCCTATTCTTGGATCGGGGGAGTCTTGATAACAGGTCCGAAACGATTCTGGCGAAGATCTTTCCCTAAATCTCCAGCCGCAGTGCTGGGGCCCCCTCAGATCTCCAAAGCAGATCCCCCTGGCAAAAACTCCAAGCCAAATCTCCACCGAAATCTCTGGGAAATCTCCAGGAATCCCCCTTCTGGTGGAAATCTCCAGCGAAATCTCGGGGCCATCCCGCTCGCGCGAGATTCTCCAGCGAAATCTCCAGGCTTCCTGGACTGTCATCTATATATATATATATGTATATATATATATATACATATGTATATTTATGTATATATACATATATTGGGATGTATGATATCTCATTGGAAGCCTTTTTGGAATGTGTTCCGGAGATTTCCCGGGAGATTTTGTTTGGATATTTCCGAGGGTCGAGATTTTCCAGGAGAATTCTGTTAAGATTTCCGTGGGGGAAGATGATTCGGGATATTCCCGAGGGGGAAAATCTCCAGGGTTTGGGATGTGTTAGGATTGATCAGAAGGCATTGGGATGTAGGACATATCAGTGGAAATGTCTTAGGATACCCTGGAGATTTTCTGGGATATTCTCGAGGGGCAAGGATTTCCGGGAGATGCCCACGGAGATTCCTTGGGGGGCAGGACTTCCCGAGAGATTTCCCGGGACATTCAGATCTCCCTGGAGAATTCCATGGAGAGTTCTGAGGGGCAAGATTTCCCGGGAGCTTTTCCAGGAGATTTCCGAGGGAGGAGGTTTTCCGGGAAATTTTGCCACGGAGATTTCCGAGGGGGGAGATTTCCCGGGAGATTTCCCAGGAGATTTCCCATAATATTTCCGAGGGGCAAGATTTGGTTTGAGATGTTCTTAAGTATTGTGGGGCGTCCCAGATTTGTTTGGGAGATTTTGGTTCGGACATGTTTTCAATGCTTCCCCCGATCTAACTTACTCGAAGAAGCGCCAGCATCGGTTAAGGCGCTTGGATTAGCGACTGGTCCCGTTTCCATGCAGGGTCTACGCGCTCCGCCGCCGAAGGAGGCGCCACTGGTTCCCATGCCCGGCGGGGTATACCGTCCTGGATCCGTGGATTTGGTGCCCACGCGCCAGATCCACGGATCCCCAATCCATATCAGAGCGTACTACAGTCAACCCGCATAGTCGGGATGGGCGACCTTCCCACGGGAACCCTTGCATCCTTGCCTCCTCGGTCCATCCTTGGCCACTTTCGATGGCCGCGCCCCGCTCGAGACGCCTCGAAGTGGGTGTCCAAGGCCCTGGCACTCTTGTCGCGCGCCCTTCTGATGCGGGCCGACTGCAGATTTGCCGCGGACCTCGTAGGTCGCGGGGCGCCCGACCCCGCCCCCCAAGAAACGTTGCCGGAGCGCACCGCCTTGTGGAGCACCCCCTCCGCACAGGGAGGGCATCCCCCGACCTCCACCGGACGGCACATGTCTGCACCGCCAGCTCTGCCGCGGAGCTCCTCTCGGGAGAGGGCGCGCTCGTCCTGGCTCGCGTGTGGAGGCTCCTCCTCCTCCCTCCCTCCTCCCTCCTCCTCCTCCTCCCTCCTCCTCCTCCTCCCTCCTCCTCGCTCCTCCTCCTCCTCCTCCTCCTCCTCCTCCCTCCTCCTCCTCCTCCTCCTCCTCCCTCCTCCTCCTCTCCTCCCTCCCTCCCTCCTCCCTCCTCCCTCCTCCCTCCTCCTCTCCTCCTCCCTCCTCCCTCCTCCCTCCTCCCTCCTCCCTCCTCCCTCCTCCCTCCTCCCCCTCCTCTGAGCTCTGGGGCTTCCCAGAGGAGGATGGGGCAGATGGGGGTCGGAGGTGATCGCGCCGCACCGCCGGGGCATCGGCGATGCGGCTCGAGGTGGGTCCCGAGGTTCTCCAGATCGACGGCGCCGATGCTTCGCCGACGGCGCCGATGCGCCGCAGATGCATCGCCGATGCCTCGGAGATGCATTGGCGATGCGGCGCGTTCCTGCGACCGCATCTATTCGGACCGTCAGTGGTACTTGGAAGCGGCAGGGCCGTTTCCTTTCGCTTCCAGGAGCCTGGATCTTCACCGAGCAACAAGCGTTCTTCGCTGACCCGGAGCACAATGGCTCCAGGATTGACGCCGTAGCCACAGCAGAAAGCGGCGACGCAACCAGACAACAGCGGTGCAGGGACCAGGAGCAATAACGGCAACACGACGGTGCCAGAACCGGGAACAACAACGGCAACACGAAAACGACAAGCAGCCGCCTTCCGTTTCCAAGGACCACAAAGCTCGGACCCTATCTGAGATGCCTCCGTGTGCGGAAGACAGCCATCGTAGCCCATATTGGGGAGGGGGAAGGCTCAGGGGGTGAGGCGTCGACCCCCAATCGCACAGTCATCGCCGAGGGGGCGCCCAGGAGCGTGCGGATTCGCCCTCGGGGGCCCATGCAGATGTGCAGATCCGTCGGCGAGGCATCGCCGATTCCAGCTCGCCGCTTCCGCCCTCGAGCCCGTCTCCCCCCCTCGGGCGCCGCCCCTCGCGGTCAGCAGGAGCCTTGGAGGCAGAGCGCCTCGGCATCCCTCGATTCCGTGCATCCTTTGCGTGCCTTCTGCTCTCTTCGCGTCGAGGGAACGAACCACACTTTTTTTTTGCCGTCGGCGGCGAGGCAGGGGCAGTCTGCTCCAGCGCGTGGTTATCCGGGGCAGCAGGAACGACCGACACACACCCATACCCATACGCGTGCGACTGGATACGGAAAGGGGCCATGGGCACGTGGTGTCCGTTGGGTTGTCCCCGCTCGAACGGCAGCCTCCCCCGGGGCCATGCCCATGGCCAGTCCTCGGGGCTCAGCCATGTCCATGGCCATGCTCGGGGTCAGTGCACACGGGGGTCAGCCAGAGCGCCGGGCCTTGCAGGATCTGGCGAGATCCTGCAACGCCTGACCGACCCAGGCTTGCATTGACCTGGGTCAGTGCGTCCCCGCAGTGCTCCTCCCTCCGCCCCCCCTGTGGGTCCTGGCGTGTTCACCAGCCTCGAACCTTTCCCTACCCCTAAGACTAACACGCCAAAAGGCGATGACAATCTCAGGGGCGCGCCCTCGGAAACGAAGGGAATCCCTGAGATCGGCGTCGTGATGGGATGGGGATCCGTTCCAGGGATCTGCTCCAGAGATCGCGAGGCGATGCCCAGCATAGGGATGGGGATCTGTTCCAGGCTGCGTTGTTCGTGCTGCGCGTGTGTTGTTCGTGCGTCGCTCGTGCGTGTGTGGTCCTGTGTGGATGATGATGGTCGTGTGTTGATTCGATGAGGATGGTCATGCGTTCCTCGTGCGCTCGTGCGTTCGTTGAGGGATGCTGACGTGTGTTGTTCGTGCGCCGCTCGTGGCTGGCCCCCGGCGGCCGCAGGAGCCAGCCGGGCCCTCGGAGCGGCGGCCGAGCGGCGGCCGCCAGTCGCCCCATTGCCAGGAGCGAGCAGCAGCGCCTGCACCACGAGATGAAGAGCATCGAGGCCTCCGCGGCGCGCCGCGGGCCGCGCGCCGCGGGGTGCTCCGCGCGGCTTCTCTCGCCGCGCGCGTGCTCCAACGGGGCCCGTCGTCCTCCTCCTCCTCCTCCTCCTCCTCCTCCTCCTCCTCCTCCTCCTCCTCCTCCTCCTCCCTCGTCCTCCTCCTCCTCCTCCTCCTCCTCCTCCTCCTCCTCCGTCCTTCTTAGGGTGGAGGGCTCAGGGTGGAATCCGCATGGGCTCGTGCGCCTCCAAACCCGGCCCGTCTTGTGCTTCGCTTCCTGCAGACTCGAGCCTCGAAGATCCATCGACACGGGATCGTGGACTTCGCCCTTTGCCCTCCACCTGGAAAAAAGGCGTGGTCCTCCCCCCCTCCTGCATGATGCCGGCCAACTCGCTCCTGTAGTGCCCCTGCATCGCTGCCACGCTGGAGCGGATTGTCCCGCCTCGCCGCCGACGGAGGAGCTCCGGCGAGGCGCTGGGCCGGGCGCGCGGCGCCTGGGCCTCCCGATGGTCCGCCACTTGCGCCACCACACGGCCTGTGGCTCCGGAAGGTAAGAGGAGGTCGGGGTCGCGCCTCTCCCCGCGGCGTCGGCCGCGGGCGGGCTGGAGGGAGGGAGGGGTCCGGCGGGGGCAGCTTCCTGTCCAGCCAGCGGTGATCCACCGCTCGGGAGGGGAGGGGGTCAGAAGGATCGTAAGGAAGGTAAGGATGAGGATGAGGATGAGGATGAGGATGAGGATGAGGATGATGATGATGATGATGATGATGATGATGATGATGATGATGATGATGATGATGATGATGCTGATGCTGATGCTGATGCTGTTGCTGGTGATGATGGTGATGCTCATGATGTTGATGATGTGTTGATGATGCCGATGGTGATGATGCCAATGATGATGCTGATGATGCTGATTATGATGCTAACGTTGATGATGATGATTCTGATGCTGATGATGGTGATTATGATGACGACGATGGTGATGTCGATTATGTTGCTGGTGATGATGGTCCCCCCTCAGCGGGCAACGTGCGCTGCACAGGAGCCGCCCCGCGGCCGCGGCCGCCGCGCCGAAGCCTCAGCCCCGGTCCGCCGAGTGCTCGCCCTCGACACAAACGCAGGCCGCCGGACGAGCGCAGAGAGCGACAGGCGCTACACAGCCCCCCCGCCGCCGGCGACGAGCTCCATGAAGTCGAGCCGCACCCCCGTGAGGAGACCCGCCTCCTCCGCGTCCGCCTTGAGGATGCGAACGCTGGCCGTGTCCCCGTCGACCGCGTCGATCCGCCCCACCGTGCCCTCAAAGAGGCCGCAGCGTCGCAAGACCACCACGTCGCCAGCGCCCACGGCCCGCCGACGGGCCGCCGCAGCCTGCGCCGTCGACCGCTGCAGGCCGTCGGCCCAGGAGTCGTCCATGGGGTCGCCGTCGGGCGGCGCGGCCGCCGCGGCTGCACCAGCCGCAGCTCCAGCTTCGGGGTCCCCCACGCCAGCCTCCGCCGCCGCCCCAACTCCACCAGGACGAGCACCTCCCCGAGAAGCGGGCGCTACCGTCGCCGACGACGCCTGGCCAGGCCGTGCCGGGCGCCGAAGCCGCCGAGCCCGTGTAGTCGCCGCTGTTGCGCCGCCAGCTCCTCCATCCTGCTGTTCCTCCGCGTCGTCGCCGTGGGCGCCCGGCACGGCAGGCGAGGGCCCGGCGCCGCGCCCCGCGCGGCCGCGCGGCCGGTGGCGCCTCCGAGGGAGCGCCGCGGCCGCCGGCTCCGGCGGGGAGGGCGCTGCCTTCGTGCCGAGCTCCACGATCGCTGCCCGGAGCAGCCCCTCGGCGGCCCGCAGCATGCGCACTCCCGACCGGGAGTGGCACGCCGCGAGCCCGCTGGCAGCATGCGCCGCCAAGAGAGCGCCGCGGGCCGCTTCGGCGGCAGCGCGGGCTCCAGAGGGACCGGCCATCGCTGCCCTTCTCAGCCTCCACCTGCTGCCGGGGTAGCAGGCGGGCGGGTCTGTGCGGGCGCGCGGCCTGCGTCGGGGGCGCGGGCGCGCGCGGCGGGGCCAGCGTGCACGCCTTGGGCCAGTATGCCGACTTTGCTGGTGATGATGGTGATACTGATGATAGTGATGATGGTGTTGATGATGCCGATGGTGATGATGCCAATAATGATCATGATGCTGATGATGATGACGCTGATGATGATACAAGTGATGATGATGATGATGATGATGATGATGATGATGATGATGATGATGAAGGCGATGGTGATGGTAATGGTGATGGTGATTCTGATGATGATGCCGATGATGTTGCTGGGGGTGATGGTGATGATGATGTTGCTGATGCTGATGATGATGATGATGATGATGATGAGGATGATGATGATGATGATGATGATGATGATGATGATGATGATGATGATGGTGTTGATGGTGTCGATGGTGATGATGATGAAGGTGATGATAGTGATGATGATGATCCTTCTGATGATAAGGAGGAGGAAGAGGATGATGATGACGCTGCTGATGCTGCTGCTGATGAGGATGATGATGATGATGATGATTGCGATTCTGATGATGATAGCGCTGATGATGATTATGATGATGATGATGATGATGATGCTGATCATGATTATCATGATGATAATGATGGTGGTGATGATGATGTTGATGATGATGCTGATAGTGACGATGATGCTGATGATGATACTGATGATGATGATAATGATGATGATGCTGATGATGATGATGGTGATGATGGTGGTGATGAGGATGATTGCGACGATGCTGATAGTGATGATGTTGATGATCAGGAGGAGGATGGTGGTGGTATTGATGATGATGATGATGGTGATGATGATGATGATGATGATGATGATGATGGTGATGGTGGTGGTGATGGTGATGGTGATGGTGATTCTGATGATGATGCCGATGATGTTGCTGGGGGTGATGGTGATGATGATGATGCTGATGCTTGTGATGATGAGGATGATGATGATGATGATGATGGTGTTGATGGTGCCGATGGTGATGATGCCAATGATGATGCTGCTGCTGATGATGACGATGATGCTGATGGTGATGTTGATGATGATGATGATGATGATGATGATGATGATGATGATGATGATGATGATGATGATGATGAAGGTGATGATAGTGATGATGATGATCCTTATGATGATGAGGAGGAGGAAGAGGATGATGATGACGCTGCTGATGCTGCTGCTGATGAGGATGATGATGATGATGATGATGATGACGATGATAATGATGATTATCATGATGATAATGATGGTGGTGATGATGATGTTGATGATGATGCTGATAGTGACGATGATGCTGCTGATGATGAAGATGATGATAATGATGATGATGATGATGATGATGATGATGATGATGATGATGATGATGATGATGATGATGATGTGATGATGATGATGATGATGATGGTGATGATGATGATGATGATGGTGATTGAGACGATGTTGATAGTGATGATGTTGATGATCAGGAGGAGGATGGTGGTGGTATTGATGATGCTGATGTTGCTGATGATGATGATGATGATGATGATGATGATGATGATGATGATGATGGTGATGATGATGAAGATGCTGATGCTGATGCTGATGCTGATGCTGATGCTGCTGCTGAAGAGGAGGAGGAGGAGGAGGAGGAGGAGGAGGAGGAGGAGGAGGAGGAGGAGGAGGAGGGGGGGGGAGAGAGAAGGAAGGGTAAGTGGTGGAGGAGGGGGAGGAGGAGGAGGAGGAGGAGGAGGAGGAGGAGGAGGAGGAGGAGGAGGAGGAGGAGGAGGAGGAGCGCGTCTTGAGGTGCCTGTTGGGGTCTCCCGAGGGCCAAAGCTTGGCCAGCAATTCGGGGTCCGGCAAGTCGCCAGTCATCTCAAGGCTTTTCTAGCACTGTCGGTGCCCGCACCGTCAGGACATTCGGAGACGCGCCTATGGAATTTCCCACGCCCTGCAGCAGTGCAACGGCCAACTCTCACACACTTCGAGCGCCAGAGCTGGTCGCGAGTGCTGGGCTGCCCTGGTTCGTGGCCTGTCTGCAGTCGCCTCTGGCGTCTCCTCCTCCTCCTCCTCCTCCTCCTCCCCCTCCTCCTCCTCCTTCTCCTCCTCCTCCTGAATCGCCTCCTGATTCCTGATTCACCTCCCCATGTGCCTTTACCTTTATTACCTCCTCCTGTCTTCTTCCTCCCTTTCCTTTCGCTCCTCCTGTTTTTTTTTCTTTTCCTCCTTCTCTTGCTCTTCCTCCTCCTCCTCCTCCTCCTCCTCCTCCTCCTCCTCCTCCTCCTCCTCCTCCTCCTCCTCCTCCTCCCCCTCTGTCCTTCCCCCCCCCCCTCCTGCTCCTGCCCCGCCGTAGGAGAAGAGCAAGGACAACAAGGAGAAGATCAAGCTCAACCGCCAGCTGCCGCACCTGGTGGCCAACGTGGCAGAGATCTTAGACCTCGAGCCGGACGAGGAGCCTAGGGCCATGGCAGGCTGTCTGGCTGCTCTGCGCGTGAGGCGTTCCAAAAGAGGACCTCCCCTTTAGAGGATCGAGGGAGCTGTCGCGCCTCCCTCCGCGCGGGGCGGCGGAAGGGCGGCGGAGGGTGGGCGGCGGTAGAACGAGGCCGCCTCCGACGGTGGAAGGCTAGCGGAAGCCGGCGGCAGGCGGCGGAAGGCGGCGGGAGGCTTGGCGGAAGGCGGCGGAAGTAACACGTTGCCCCCCCCAAGACAAGGGCGCCCTCGAGGGCGAGAAGCTATTCGCGCTTCGCGGTTCGGCTCCGATGCCTCCTCCTCCTCCTCTTCTGCCCTGGGAGGCGGCGCGAGAGCGCGAAGTTGTTCGCACTTCGCGCTTCGCGCAGCGCGAAGCGCGAAGTTGGGAGCCCTCGCAAGAGATGAACACGTTTTCGGTTTCAGGGTCTCCGCAATCGACCAAATGACCAACCATCCGAGTCCTTCTGCAGCAAATCATGGGTGCCTGGTATACCCTCTCAGTTCCGTCCTGAGCGTCGATTAGCGTCGATTAGCGTCTGAGAGTCGATTAGCGTACGTGCCGCGGGGCGCGTAGAAGCACCGTGCTCCCGTCGGTGTCAAAACATCGGGAGGGCCCCTCCCCCTTCCCGACGATCGAGAGACCCGCAGTCGCAAACGCAGTCACAAACATCGAAAGACGTCTCTCACAGTGTGTGCTTTGGCGGCGAGCCCATGGGGGGAACGCAGAGGGGATGGGCCTCCCCAGATGGCTCGGAAGGCCTCTGGCCTGTGCAGCGTGTTCTCCGAAGATTGGGACGGCTTCTCAGAAGACTGGATGGCTTCTGAGAAGTCCAGCCGCCTTTGATCAGGAGGGCGAATCACGCACAGACACAATGAACCATCGATCCACACAAAAAATGGGAACATAGGGGGACTGGGGGGAAGACAAAAAAGCCCAGGAAATGTGGGAACGCATCGAGAATCCTGTGATTCGTGTCTGCGTATTTGTGTGTCCCTGGGCCCCTGCAATACTGGGGGATCTTGTGTGTCCCTGGGCCCCTGTAGCAGGAGGAGGAGGAGGAGGAGGAGGAGGAGGAGGAGGAGGAGGAGGAGGAGGAGGAGGAGGAGGAGGATAACACTGGGGGGAGGCGATGCTGTTGCTTCCTCGCCGGCTGCGGGCGCCCCCGGACATGCCGTCGGCCCGGGGCCCGCCCTCGCTGCCCCGCTGCCTCGTGCCGCTGCTCCTCGTGCGCCGCCTCGACGCCGCGTGCCGCGGGCCCGCGCGCTTGCCGTGGGCCCGCGCCCTCGCCCGGGTGCGGCACGGCGCCGTGGCGCGCGGGCCCCGCGGCTCCCCCCATGGGGCAACGAACAGGGGGGGGTCGGGCACAGGGGGTCACCACCCACCAAACCACCCCAACCCAACCCGAAGGCTCAGATTTACCCTCGATTTCCAGTTGGGGGGGGGGTCGGGAAGCATCGAAAAAACATATGTGGAACCCTTACCCCCCCCAACCCGAAATTCGGGTCTTCGGGTTGGGTTGGGGTGGTCTGGTAGGTAGTCAGGGGGGGGATGCATCGACCCCCAATCGCCCACCGATCGCCGACAGGGGCCCTGTAGCCCCAGCCTGCACAGCAGTGCGCGGATGCACGATCGGAGGCCCATCGCCGATCCATCGGCGATGCGTCGCCGATTCCAGGTCGATGCATCCCCCCCTACGCCAGTCCCCCCCTATCGTTACCCCTCATCCCCCGGTGCGGTGAGGACGACGAGGACGGGGCGGCGCAAGACGTCGACATGAACCGCGGCGGCAAGAGCCTTGTGGTGGGGCCGGCGAGTTTAGCCGTGGGGCAGGCTTGGGGCAGCTTTCCAGCAACTGTGACATTTTGAGCTCTGTCTCTGAAGGAGGGGGATCGAGAGGATGAGGATGAGGATGAGGATGAGGATGAGGATGAGGATGATGATGATGATGATGATGATGATGATGATGATGATGATGATGATGGTGGTGGTGGTGGTGGTGGTGGTGATGATGGTGATGATGGTGATGATGATGATGATGATGATGATGATGATGATGATGATGATGATGATGATGATGATGATGATGATGATGATGATCAGGAGGAGGAGGAGCAGGGTGGACAAAGAGGAGAATGATTGACATTCCTGAGTTGTTGTTTTGAACATTATCTAGTTCTGGCGTTTGGGCTTCCCGATGCATCTGGGCCTCCCAGGGGGCCTCGAGAGTAATGAGGGGGCATGGCGCAGGGATTCGGATGAATATTGAGGCTGGAGATGCCGATGGGGGGCCCAAGCATGTAAGGACGGGAGCGGGGCGTTACTGGGCGGGGTTGAAAGAGAGGAGCCGTGAGAGGAGAGCGGCTGATGAAGAATGGCGACGGCAATTGCAAGAGAGAGCGAGAGAGAGAGAGAGAGAGTGAGAGACTGAGAGAGAGTGAGAGAGACAGACAGAGAGAGACAGGCAGACAGGCAGGCAAGCAGGCAGGCAGGCAGGTAGACCGACAAACAGACATACATAGAGAGAGAGAGAGAGAGAAAGTAGAATAGAGAGAGAGAGAGAGAGATATACGTATACACATATATACCGTAAGTGATCATCTATATAGTTAGAGAGAGAGAGAGAGAGAGAGAGAGAGAGAGACAAAGAGAGAAAGAGAGAGAGAGAGAGAGAGAGAGAGAGAGAAAGAGAGAGAGAGAGAGAGAGATGCCCCCGTGTGCCAGCACGAAGATGTATGTTCTGAAGCTGGAGTCGTTCCATGTGCGCCACTGCCGAGAGACAGCGAAACGGTCGAGAAGGAAGATCAGCCCCCCAGCCAGGGTCCCCCAGAGGCCGGGGGGAGGAAGGCAAGAAAGCACCTTGGAAAGAATGAAACGAGGGGGGTGGAGGGAGGGAGAAGGGCTTCTAAGAAACACCCCTGCTTCTTAGAATGAGCGGGCCTCATCTGTCGACGCAAGGCCGGCGCCTTCTAAGGAGCAGCCTCCTTAGAGAAGCCATCCCCCTCCCTCCATCCACTGGTGCACGCCTCCAACCGAAGACCAAACGTCGTTTCCGCGCGGATTTTTTGTACGGTTCTGCAGTTTTTTTCTTCTTCGTTGGACAGGGAGCTGGCGTCCACCGCCCCAGACGTCGATTCTCGGACGTCTCGGTGGTCCCGCGCAGGCGAAGAAGATATCCGCATCCGCGGCCTCGCGGGCCGGGCCCCTGGGCCGCGACCCGCGCGGATGCTGGGCGTTTCTGCCGCGGATGCCCTGCGCGGGACGTACCCGTGCCGCCGCGCATCCGCAGGACCGCGCCCACAAAGTCCCCGACCGCGAGGGCGCGCACACGGACAATGCCCGCCGCTCGTGGCCGCGTGCCCCCCCTTGCGCGCCCTGCTGCCGCACGTGCCCGCGCGGGGATTCGTCGAGCACTGCCCGGAGGCCCTGCGCGTCCTGCTGGACTTACGTCGGGCCTGTCCCTCTACAGGAGGAATATTCAAACATAGTCAAAAATAGTCTGGGGACTATTTTGTGAGTATCTTTTTTAACCATGGTGGAGTATTTCATTTGATACAAGTATTATTATTATTATCATTATTATTATCATTATTATTATTATTACCATTATCATTATTATTAATATTATTATCAGTATCATTATTATTACTTTTATTATTATTATTGTTATTATTATTATTCGTATTATTATTATTATTATTATTATTATTTATATATATATATTTATTTCGTCAAAAATCCTCTGTAGGGGGACGCGCCCGACCTAATGCTGGACGCTGGGAGGGCAAACGCCACGCAGACACAAACCATCGTCGATTCCGAGGAAAACATGGAGCGCGCAGACCCCGAGGGCGCGGATGCGGATGCGTGCGCCGCCCGTGAGTCTCGGCGGCGAGTGAGAGGGGCCAGTGAGAAGGAGAAGGCCTTCTCAGAAGGTTCGGAAGGCCTCCGGCCTTCTGGAGGAGTTTTCGAAGCCTGTCCCGAAGACACACAAGCAGCTTCTCAGAAGGCTCGAGGGCCTCTGAGAAGTCCCGCCGCCTTCTGAGGAGGCCTTCTCCTTCTCACTCCCCCCCTCGCTCGCCGCCGAATTTGGTTTTGGGCCATGACTCGGGCTTCCGGCGGCCGTTCGGGACTATCCAGGCATCCCCGGAATGCTCTCGGCGAGGCGCAGCCGCTGGAACGCATCCTGAGGGCGGCACCGCCAAGAAGCGACTAAAACGCCCGAAAGCCTAGAACCTCGAAGTTCGAACCCTCGAAGTTCGAGCTTCCCCCCCTCGCTCGCCGCCGAGGATCTGTGCTCCGCCCGTGAGTCCTTGCCGACCCAGACGTGCGACGGCCTGAGTTTTTCAACACGGGGCCCCTGGAAGTCCCGACCCTGTCACTGGAACCGGCTCTTCATCCTGAGTCCTTTTCTGACGGCCCCGAGGCCCGGCGAGGGCCCCCTGGGGCCGAAATTGGCCAGAAACCTCCCGTCCAGATTTTTGTACGACGCGATCATTCGAAGAGGAAAAAAGCACATCAACATAAAGTTTCGACGCTCCGCGCGGATTTCTTGGGATCTGCGCTGGGGCCCCCTGGCGGTGCCTCCAGCGCCGCCCCTGGCGCGCTCCGCGCGCCAGCGAGGGGGACCCAGCGCAAATCCAAGAAATCCGCGCGGAGCGTTGGAAGTTCACGTTTATGTGTGTTTCTCTTCCTCTGACCGGGAACTGGAGCCTATACATTACCAGTGGAGGACTTTTTGAGGGTCGGGGACAACGTCGGGGTGTTGAAGTGTGTGCTTGTTTCCCCGTCTCCCGAGAACGCATGGGAAAATGTATACACCAGGGTCCCGTATACACCAGGCTCCGCTTTCCTCCTGGGCAAAGCTCCGCGCAGGGCCGCACAAAATCGTCGGCTTATATCACCACCCACCAAACCAGCCCAACCCAACCCGAAGGCTTCAATTCGCCCTCCATTTCCAGTGGGGGGGGGGTCGGGGGACACTGAAACAGCACATATGGAACCCGTGCCCCCCAACCCGCAATTCGCATTTTCGGGTTGGGTTGGGTTGAAATGGTGGGTGGTCAGTACAGAGTGCGGTTCCTGTGGCCATGCCCCGGGGAGGTTTCTCGCTTCGGGGCGCGCCTCGGCAGGTGCGCTCGCTGGCGCCCGCGCCCTGCGCGCCGCGAGGGCGCCCGCCTCGACGATCCTTTGTGCCTCGCGGCCGGCCCGGCGAGGCTCCCATCCTCTGGGGGGCGGCGGAGAGGGGGGTGAGGACCAGGGGGAGGGGTGGACGTCACGGCGAGGGCCATGGTATCTCCCCGGATTTCACGGCGCCTCTTGTTATGTCAACGCGTTCCTTGGTCCCCCCTGGTCCGCGCACATGCCTCGGGCCATGATTTGCACCCCCCCCCTCCTTGATGCCCCCCTCTTGGACGCTCCCGACCTTTGTTGCCCTGCGCAGCTGATTTGGCCTAAGCTTAAGTCGAGCGTGTCCCTCCACAGGAGGAAAATCTTACAATAGTCGAAAAATAGTATGGGGACGATTTTTCTACTATTGTTTTGATTTTTTTTTATTATTATTATGATTAAAACAAGTTTTTTTGTTTTTATGAATTTTCGCCCAGAATCCGCCTGTAGGGGGACATGCCCGACCTAAGCCTAAGTCGGGCCTGCCGCTCTACAGGAGGAACATGCAAACATAGTACTGTATTTGTTTTGTTCTTGTTTTAGTGTCCTCCATTTTTCGCCCACACGCCGCCTGCAGGAGGACATGCCCGGCCTGCAGCCGGGCCCCCTCGGGCCGCGGAGCGAGCAGGGGTGGCGCGCTCGGCATCGCTGGGGCGCGAGCATGCTTTCCTCGGCGAGGGCCATCGATCGAAGAAGCACGCAAAACGGCACGAGCATAAACTTTTGGCGCTCCGCGCGGATCTCTTGGATCTGCGCTGGGGCCCCCTCGGCGGCGCCTCCAGCGCCGCCCCTGGCGCGCGCCGCGCGCCAGGGAGGGGTGTCCAGCGCGGATCCAGGAAGTGTGCGCGGAGCGCCAACAGTTTATGTCGATGCAGTTTTTTGGTAGAATATCTACATAGGTGTATGGTATCTATATATACACATATATTATTTATCTACACACACATATATATATACATATATATATATATATACATATCTATCTATACATATATATATATATATATATATATATATATATATATCCAGAAAATCCACCAGAAACTTGGACCACCCTGCGAAACATGACGCGCACGACACCGAAAAGCATGCTCGGGGCATGGACGCCCGAGCGATGTGAAGGGCACCTCCGGCCCCCGGGAGCCCTCACAGCCTGGGCCTCGACAGCCGGCTCGGGGTGACGAGCGGTCCTGTCGGCCAGCGGTTGCGACAGAAGTCTCGCGAGGGCGGAGAGCTCCACGACGGGCGACGACGACGACGACGACGACGACGACGACGACGACGACGACGACGACGACGACGACGACGACGACGACGACGACGGACGACGACGACGACGCAAGCGACGATGACGCAAGGACGGCGGCGGCGGCGGCGGTGTCGGCGACGGCGACGGCGACGGCGACTCCTGCGTTCGGGACGATCGAAGTGGGTACGGAAAGACTGGGTACGATGACCGACCGCGGCTCCCGTCCATTCTGGACCGGACTCCCTGTCGGTGCCGCCGCGGCCCGTGTCCACTCGAGGCCGAAGGCCGCCTGCCCAACGGCGGCCGCTGTCGGTTTGGGACAACCGTTGTTGTTCGGCGCTGCGCCCCTCTTTTCCGCCGGACGGCCATGATTCTCAGGAGGGGAGAAAACACACAGACACAATAATCGTCGACTCCCAGGAAAATATAGGAAAATATGGGAGGGGGGTGGGGAAGACTAAAACCCTGAAAATATGGGGAAATATGGAGAATCCTGTTATTTGTGTGTATTTGTTTGTGGGTCCTGGGGCCCTTTTCAAATTCGTGCCGCCTGCCTTCTGTCTTCCCCCCGTCCCTCCCCTCCCCGCCCGCCCGCCCCGTGCCGCCTGCCCGCGCGCCCGGGGCCTGCGCGCTCGTCGCCGCCTGCCTGCTTCTCGCTTCTGCGGTCCGCCCCTTCGGTCGCCGGCGCGGAGCCTTGCGCAGCACTGGGTTGAAGGGGCCCCAGGACACACAAATAAATACACACAAATAAAAAAAATCCAATATTTTCCTATACTTTTTGGGTTTTTGTCTTCCCCCCCACTTCCGATATTTTCCCATATTTTCTGGGGAGTCGCCGATTCATTGTGTCTGTGAGTTTCTTTCCCTCCTGATGGGTGGCTGAAGTCGAAGAACAGAAAACGGCATAGCCCTCAGCTTTGGGCGTTCCGCGCGGATTTCTTGGTTGCCCGCTGGGCCACCCAGGGCGGCGCCTCCGGCGCCGCCCCTGGCGCGCTCCGCGCGCCAGGGAGGGGGGTTCCAGCGCAGATCCGAGAAATCCGCCTGGAGCACCACAGGTTTATGCTTGTGCCGTTGTGTGGTCCTCTCTTCTGCCAAGACGCGCCAGGTGAAGACCACCACGCGGCAGACCATCTTCTTGCCCGTGATCGGCCTGGTCGACGCGGAGGAATTGGGGCGCCCCTCGGGGCGGCTTGTGGCAGGGCGGGTGAGGCGTCTCGGGTCGGCGCATGCTTGGCAGCCTTCGCCTTGCGGGCTTTGCCCTCGGTGGCTTCCAACCTCCTCCCTGTCCGCCCCTCTCGCTCCCACACCAGCTCGGGGAGTAGGGGGGAAAAGGATGATGATTTACTGGCGTGGTCGGACCGAGGTAATCATAGGCTCGAGGTCGGTTCGGGGAGAGTGCCCTACTGTTCTTCGTGCTTGTGGAAGAATGTTCTTGTGCGTCCTGGGGGAGGGCCTCATGATCTTGAACGGTTCTTCTGTCCTAGGTCCGACCGTATTGTTAAGACGACGGCGATGGTGATGAAGTTGATGATGATGCTGATGATCAGATAATACTGATGATGATGCTGGTGGTGGTGGTGATGATGATTATGACGAGGATGACGAGGATTATGATTATGATCATGCTTATGCTAATGCTGATGATGACGATGACGGTGATGTTGGTGATGACGATGACTATGATGATAGTGGTATTGCTGCTGCTGCTGGTGATGATGATGATGATGATGATGTTGGTGATAATGTTTTTGATGGCGATGGTGATGGTGATGGTGATAGTGATGGTGATGGTGATGATGGTGATGGTGGTGGTGGTGATGATGATGGTGGTGGTGCTGCTGATGATATTGATTGTTTTGGCGATGACGATGGCGATGACGATGACATTGATGATTCTGCTCCTGCTGATGATGATGATGATGACGCTGGTGGTTGTGATGGTGATTACGGTGTTGATGGTGATGTTGTTGATGATGTGGTTGCTGGTGATGATGGTGATGATGATAATGATGATGATGATGATGACGATGATGATGCTGATGCTTACGCTGCTGATGATGCTGATGATGACGATGGTTGATCTTATGCGGCGGATGGTGATGGTGATGACGATGCTATGGGTGACGGTGAGGGTGTCGGTGATGGGTTGATGGGATGTTGCCGCTGATGGTGATGCTGTTGTGGTAGGTGGTGGTGATGATGACGATTCTGCTGATTACGATGCGGATGCTGATGCTGCTGCTGATGCTGATGCTGCAGATGATGATGTCGAGGCTGATGTTGCTGATTACTTACGATGATGACGCTGATGATGGTGCTGCTGATGATGATGCTGATGCCGATGATGATGCTGATGCTGCTGATTATGCTGATGATGATGCAGATGCTGATGGTGCTGCTGATCATGACCGTCCACGCCTCGCTGTGCGCCCGCCGAGGATCTGAAGCCCAACGACCTGGTGGGCGTCAACAAGGAGACGCGCAGGGCGCCCATGCCCGTGGCTTTTGCACAGGTCGGGCGGGGTGCGCCGAGGCAGGGCGAGGGATTGACGCGATGGCAGGGGCAGGGAGGATGATGATGATAATGATGATGATGCTGCTGCTGCTGATGATGATGATGATGATGATGTCGATGATGATGATGATGAGGAGGATGATGACGATGACGATG